TTTCGAACATTTTACACATACAAGATTTACATTCAATGGTGAAATGATATTATACAATGCTGAAAAGGATCAGATCCGAAAGCATAAAATTCTTATAAAGGCCTTTTCCTTATATTAAGATTAGTTACTATAAATATGACGGGTTTTGAAAATGTTTGAAATATTGAAGTTAAAAAGTAATTGATTACAAAAATGAAGAAGATTCGTTACTGTCGTCACTAAGTCAAATTAGCGACCTAGAAACAAAAAGGGGCGTTGAGTAGAAGTTTCTATCTGAAAGATGTATGAATAGGGACTTAATAGATTAGACGCAATAATTGTCTGTTTACAAATGTATAATGTTTAGAATTTCATCATTTAAGATACACAAAGAAACTTAACTTAATAAGTAGAAGAAAAGAGGAGGATCTATTCGGTGAGTTAATTGGAGGAGCAATGTATCATAGACTATGAAAATCGTTTGCTGTCTCGGATAAACATTTGAACTGCCTGAAATATGCTGATATTGATATCGTCACTTAAGTTAGTATCGCCGTTAAGTAGTGTGTGAAGAGTGACATTACAGTAGGCTGAAAGAGTTTGGAAAAGGCTGTGTCTGATAGTACTGTATTGTTTGCATTCAAAGAAAAAATGATAGTTAGTTTCTAGCAATCCAGATTGGCATAAAGGTGAGTTAACAATATTTTTTCTGTATAGATGGTAGTTTAAAGAACTGCACTCTGTTCGTAGACGTGCATGATATATTTGCCATTTTCGAACACCTGTATAGAAAAAATTTGGAAATTTTATTATGTTTCTATTCAAAAGACACTTAAAAAAAGATAATGTAGGTGCATTTTGTACATCAATTGGTAGTTCATTCCATTCTCTGAGAGCTGAAGGAAGAAAAGCGTTATAGTATAAAGAAGTTCTTGTGTGAATGCCTTGTATATCGTTCGAATTTCTTAAATTATAACGTGTGGTTTCACCTAAAGACGGAGGGACAATACTAGTAGTTGATAGGTAGACAGGGGAGAGTCCATTTTTCATCTTATAAAGAAGAATCAATTTATGTTTCCTTCTTCTGCTGTCCAGAGGTTCCCACGGGACCTCTCGTTGAAGCTCATGAAGAGACACAAGTTTAGTTGCACCAGATACAATTCTAGAAGCTTCATGTTGGATTTTATCTAGTTCGGCTTTTTCATATTGAGTACAATTGATGTAAACAACATCGGCATATTCTAGAATTGGCCTGATATAGGATAAGTAGATTATTTCTAAAGATTTTCGATCAAGTTGAAATTTTAATTTGCGCATTATATGTATACGTTTCCACGCCCTCTCCTTAACATGATTAATGTGAATATGCCAGGAACCATCGTCAGAAAAGTGTAAGCCTTAATGTTTGTGAGATGTCACTGAAGATATGGTCTGGTTTTGCATTAGGAGGGGTGGATGGAACTGTTGTGATGTTTTACGTGTGATTAATATGGTTTCAGATTTGGAAGGATTAAACTTGACTAGCCATTTGTCAGCCCATGAAGAAATCTTGTTTATGTCAGATTGAAGAATGTCTGCCGTAGTAACTGGATGATGAACGATCAAATAAAAACTGGTATCGTCGGCAAAAAGATTTACAGAGGACCTTAAGTCAACAACAATATCATTGATATAAACTAAAAAAAAGAAGCAGACCCAGAATCGAGCCTTGAGGAACTCCTGCATTTATTACAGACCAATCAGATTTGACTCCAGGAAGGACAACAGATTGGCGTCTATTTGAAAGATAATCCGAAAACCAGTCGAGGAGGGGTCCCTGAATACCGGCACATTTTAGTTTAAGCAGGAGACCCTTGTGCCACACTTTATCAAAGGCCTTGGTGAAGTCGTCGAAAAAGACAATCCGGATCTCAAGACCTTAATCAAGAGCCTTACAGAAAGAGTTGTAAAGAAAGGTTAGTTGATTCACAGTTGAGTCGCCAGGTTTGAAACCAGATTGAAGGGGCGATATAAAGTCATTATCATGAAGCAAGTTAAAGATATACTTAAACAAAATGCGTTCAAAAACTTTTTCCATACAACACAATAGTGATATAGGACGATAATTGCTGGGTAACGATGGATCTCCTTTCTTAAAAATTGGGCAAATGTTGGCATCTTTCCAAGTTTGGGGAATCTTACAAGTTAGGAGTGAATGATTAAAAAGACAGCAGAGTGGATATTTGATTACGGACGAGGTTTCGAACAAGATGCTATTACTTATTTCATCGGGCCCAGAAGCTTTATTGGTATTTAAAGTTTTGATAGCATCTTCAACATCTTGAGTTGTAATACTAATTGAAGTGAGAGTGTTCACAGACTGTTCGAAAAAATCGCCAGGAACTTCTTTATTACAGTTTTCAAGAGAGGACTGGTTGCTAAAATAGTTGTTTAATAAGTCGGATTTTAAATTGTTATCAAATGAAAGTGTTTGAGTAACTGGGTGAGAGAGTGCCGGAATTGTTTGCTTTTCAGTCGGTGATATGAATGAGTCTCCACCAGTCTCTCTGCGATGTGTTGTCTGATGTAAGAGAGTCTGCTGTTTCTGGATGTGGTAACGTTTGGCCGTGTGAATAAGTGAGATGACTTTATTACGTAATTTTTTTAATGAGTGCCAGTACAAAGGATTTTGGGTTTGTTTGGCTCTGTGATAAAGTTTTTTGCGTTTACGAATAAGCTTTTTGATTTGTGTCGTTATCCATGCTGAGTCAGTCGGTTTTACTATTATTGTTCTTGTAGGTATGTACTGCTTTGAAAGTTCGAGAATTTTGTTGCTTACTAAAGTTGCGTGTTCATCTATGTCGGTGTTTGTATATTGACCCCAGTCAGTTTGCATAATACTTTGTTTCAGAGTGTGGTAGTTGCCGCGATCATATAACCATATAAAACGCTTGAAAGATCCTGATTTAGGTTTAGAAAAGGAAAAAAGAGCAAAAATAGGGCAGTGGAAGCGAATATTTTGGTCCAAAACTGATACCCCAACACCTGATGTTATTACTTGGTGACTGCAAGAAACAAGAAAGAGATCTAAAACAGATGCTGACGACTCGGTAAACTGTGTAGGTTCGTTTATGAGTTGTTCAAGGTGAAATTGTTGACAAAGTTTGCGTGATAATGTCGAATTAGATGGATTAAAGTTAAAGTCTCCAGTTACAATTATATCTGTTATATTTGTTTCTTCTGCCAAGTTAAGAGAGTGTTCCATAAGAGTTGTATAATGTGCATTTGCATTGGGAGGTCGATAAAAAGTACCAAACAGAATACGTTTAGATTGAGATAATAAAATTTCCACCCATACACATTCTACATTTCTAGGTTCGAGATCCCACCGCCGTTTGTAAAATAGTGAATTCTTAATGTATACAGAAACCCCACCATGACTGTCATCAATCCTGTCATTTCTTTCTGGAGAATGAAAACATGGTATAGATATATCAGAATTGGAAACACTGGGATTAAGCCACGTTTCTGAAAACGCAAGAACATCGAACATACTAAATTCAGTGGCTAGAATTTCTATTTTGCCAAGCAGGCTTTGGACATTATATTGTAGTACAGATAAACATGAAGTTGACGACATTAGACTTACTAGATCCAAAGACATAGACGACGTAGTGGACAATGATGCAGTTGATGAATTTGTTGATAATGGACCAGGATTCGGATGAATATCTCCAGATAAATTAAGAATAATATGCAGCCATTGAATTCACACCAATTTTTGATGAGAAAAGCGATGAGTACATGAGCGAAACATACGTTTTGAATGTAGCACTCATAACATGGATTGATTCGTCTGAATGGATATTTAATGTTGTTTTTAACTTGATTCCTAAAGTGGAGAGACAGCGAGAATGTTTGTATAATGTTTGGAGCAATGTGTACAAGAGCCAGCATATTCAGTAAAAGGGAAAATTTCCATGTACAAGAGTAAGAGTGCATGACAGTGGTGCCTGAAAATTTATTCATTATGTGATTGACGTTATAAACAACAAAAAGCGCGCTATGACTATCATGCCGAAGATATTAATTATTGAAATCCAATGCAATTATTGGACAAATATTGTACTTCAATTGTTTGTTACAAATATATAATAAAAGATAAAAACATGTTTACATTCTTGTTGAATATCATCCCTAACACAGTAAATATGGACAATTTCCAAATGTACTTATTTGTTATTTAAATTATTTCAACGAAATTATTTTTTGAATAAAGTCACAAAATTATTAATATTGACATATCAAAGGAAAATTACCAGAATTACAACAAACATACAATCATATGTTGGAAACAAGTACAATATATACTATTTTTTTATAATACTGCACGTTTGTAACGCAACATATCATTGGATAAATAAACTGAAATCAAAAAACCTTATAAATAAGGCTGTTGTTATTTCCTAAATTTATTTTAAATTTGCCTTTACATGTTTGTACGTATATTGCCTTATATAAACGGTGACTTGCAACATAACAGTTGTTTGGTGTCCTCTGTTATATATCCAATCAACCGTTTATATAGGATCGATCATGCAACCTTCAAAAATTTACAACTAATAGTATTAATGTACTGGCATTTGTATATATTCATTAGTCGGCGAATCTAGTAGGAACACGAAACACCATGACATATACTTTTATCATATCATTGGTGTCAATCATAACTAGGTATCCACAGAGTCTTATATTACAATTATATGACAATATAAATATTGCTCTGTGGTATCAATGGATAGTTCTCCTTGGAAACTGAATTCGGCCGTCTGAGATATTGAAGTGAAGGAATAAGGGTGCAAAATGATACACATTATTCTAAACATGTAGCCTTACATACTCTGTATGATACATGTACTACTTTACTTACCTGTAACCTGTAGAAAACCTTTGACCGATAAGAGAATGTTTGACCGATAAGAGAATGAGAAAATATATTCATGGTCACTCAAAACATTAATGAACAGTCTTTTTTACTTAATGCATAGATCTTTCATGTTAAATAAAGAGCTCAAAGAGTGTTCTTAAAACTTTATTTAAAAATAGTTTAAAAATAATAGGAGTATTGAAATGATAAATAAGGCGTAATAACCAAACAACATTTTTCTAAACGGTGGGTTAATTTTTTGAATCTCAAGATGCCAGCAGTTGAAGACGTAGATGTAGATAAGATATGGAGGGCGTTAGGGAAATGGGGAAGTTATCAAAGGAGACAGCTTATTGTGGAAATGGTCGCGATATGGTCATGTAGTCTTCATATGCTATCAATTGTCTTTTTAGGTAAAATGTTTAATTTTTAAATATGTATTGTACCTGTCTTATAATTATCAATGAAATACATACTTGTATTATGATCGTCTTTCGCACCTACATAGTCTTATATGATTTTGTTTATTTAAATACTAAAAATATACACCAATCATGATTGATTCCGAGAAGCACACGTTTGAATATAGAATATACTTTGGAGTGTAATAACTGTTTTGCACGTACATATTTGGGATACAATTTATACTTTTATATCGATATGGAGCACGTATACACCAATGTAGCACTTTCACTACGATATGGACATATTACACAAATCAATAGAAAAATAAAGCAAATTTGTAAAAATAATCTACAATTAAGATTTAAAAAATATGCAAACGTATATATCAAAATGCTTTGAAACACCAAATAAAGGGGTCAATTGCTCTTTGGGGTTTGACCACAAAGTGCGTCACGTAATTTTGGGCCCAACCACATGTGCGTAACGCGCTTTAGATGCATTTTTACATCAGACAAACAAAGAAGCCGAAATGTATCCAGTCGGAAAACAATAGCAGACGATAGCTTATATGACTTTTATATCATTCTAAGGATTGCAGTTAATTACAATTTTTATATTCAGATAACTGTTTTATGTGAATAGAGGCTTTAAAGTACAATGCATAAATATGTTTGATGTGTATTGAGTGAAATAGTAATAAGATATCATAGTATCTGAGTTTTGTCCATGAACTTTGTCCATGAAAAAGCGTTGTGCGCCAATAATTGTAGCGAAGTGTGTCGCACAAATTTCAATCTTGTTAAAATGGAGATCTTATAAGATAGTAACAGGTGGTAACTCATTAAAAATCTGGAGTTTTTCCATTATCCCTTATCTAGTTTTGTGTAAAGGAAGGTACCTTTCTTTATTAATTATTATAGTTTCTCAGTTGAATGATGTAGAAAAATGTTTTCAGTGCGTGCTCTCCTAAGATCATTTTTCGAAAATACGAAAATCCTCTCTTTGTTGATATGACGGTAACGGGTAAAATAAAAAGATACATTTTGTAAAATCGTATATTAATCCCGAAAGAAACCTGTAAGATTCAATTAATTCAGATTATAAAAGGTATTGTGCTGTCAGTCAACACTAAAATTTTCACTGGTGTTATTGCATTTTAATCTCAAGATGGCGTCCCAAATGACAAAAATTGAACATAAATCATTGTGGGCATAATAATGTATTTTTAAGAATACTTAAAATTTGCTTTTAGAAGCAGCTACTTTCATGAAATAACATGACTGATTCCTAAAAGTCAAGGGTGGTTGACCCAAATGTGCGGTGTTACAATGCTTAATGAATTTGATATTTCAAGTCTTCATTTCTAAAATGATGAAATTGATTGTTGAAAAGTACTTGTTATATGTTTATAAGATTGTTTTTCCCTTTAGTGTGCATTATGTCATAAATTCAAATGTGATGCCTTTCTTTACAATAATAACAAAACAAAAATTTAACATGATGAATAAATATGTCCCTACTATATTATACGTTTTTATGCAAAAGGCTATAAACCAGACCATGAATGTAAAAATGCCTACAACTCATCTAATGGCCAAGCGCATTCGAATAATTCTATGTCGAGAAGATTTGAAAAGTGCTCAATAACGTATACTACTAACGAAACGGGTGTATCCATTGTTTCTACGACGGACTGTACGGACGGATGGAGATACTTTGATCCGGAGCCATATTCGGAGGACCGTTCATTTATATCCGAGGTAAGTGATAAGTTACTAGTATGCCACGGTAAGAATAATTTTAAATTTTACAAGTTAAGAAATTATTTCGAGATCAATACAACCACAGAACCAGAAGTCTTTAACCAATTTACTTCAACGATTATTCTAGATGTCAGATCCTCGTCCCTCGGGATAGACGTGTATTTCCTTCTGTTTTAATTACTTCCAGTGTAATTATGATTATTAACTTTGCTAAAGCGATATGTATGACATTTGCATCTTTCTGAGCGATTGTATGAGCAATGGAATTATTTCCTAGCAAACACGTAATGTTTCCTCGTTAATTGACATATATGTAACCAGCACGTAGTAATTAAACAGTACTTGATAAGTACATAACTATACTAGTTTGTGGGGTTTTTTTTAAAGATATGCGAATAAGATTTATATGTTTTAACCTCTCATATGCCGATTATGCAATATACATGTAGTTTTTATTACATTGGTTCACCTGTTATTGTAACCTTAACCATTATACGTTTTTATCGAATTCATGTTCAATGTTAATGTTTAGCGTTTACTTTTAATCACAAATGTATAATAAATTTAGATTAAGTACAAAAGTCACCAAGAGATAGCAGCGTTCATTGAATGTATTTAATGGCAGAATTCAGCTTTGCAAGAACTTGACAAAGATTATATCGTAACAGGACAAAATTGATTTTTACACTATGACTAACTAGATCATTACATTTCCATGTCACCACATATATACTTAGGTCACGTACATTTTTTTCAATTAATAATATAAATTATATGCATTATAAATAATATTCATATTTTGATTTTTGATATTTATAAATGATTTATTACAAACTAATGCTATTTTTTCCAATACATATGTTTTCCGTACTTGACAAAACACTTAAAAAATAGTAGTGTCATATATAACATCAGTTATAATCGAGCAGTTTTAGAACAATCGTTTGAAAATACTTTTGAATAAACTTGTTGTAAAGTAATATATGTAAACATTATATATAACTGGTACAGAAAGATCAGATATGATATGGACAAAACTGACACAGCATTTATTCGTGTGTATAAATATTAATTTATTTAATGCATATAAGCTTTTTTTCTTACATGACATAGATTAAAAAAAGTAATGTTCTCGCATAAATGACCCTTTTAATATTCCTTGATATAGTATTAGTAATACAAGTCGCTTACGGGATATTCGTGGAGGAGATAAATATAGCCCGAGGCTCTAGCAGAGCGTTATACGTGTATCTATATCAGCGAGGCTTAATTCTCCCGTATATGTAGACAGCAACTTGAATAACGAATTTAGGGTAATGCAAATTCTCTAACGACACGTTCATGGAATAACAGCAATTTTAGTCTGTTTTCATCGAAGTGCAGTAAATGATATGACATCATACGTTATACGGATATGCGAACGCTGCGCAACAAAAAGTATTTTAAGTGTAAAAAAATCCTTATGTCTTAATGAAATGATAGTTGAATATAACATTTAGAACAAAATGCAATACATTTATAAGAAAATAAGCAAACTAGTAGGCTAGATTGCAGAAAACATTCTTTGTTCTTCAATGTATATACGGCATCCAATACATAGTGTTTAAAGCAGTCAACATTATTTGCATGATAACATATAATTATATAATGTTCAGTAATTATGTTCAAAATAACTATATAAAGTGTTGCTTTTTTATACGATAAACTGAATACTTGTCTGTCTTCACGGTTGACGTAATATAATTCAGTGTAAGGTCAATTTAAACTGTATGATCGGAATATCCAGAATCGGCTAGGAGGCTAAAATGATGTACGAGTAACGGTAGAAGATGTAAGTTTTAGTCAGATTGGAAAAAAACTCAAATTTGAGAAAATGTTTCCATACATTGCAATGTAATTCGTGAAAAGTATTTACACGTCTATGATAATAAGCAATTGATTTCATTGAATAACACATAACGATGAATAAGTTTGCAGCGTCTATATTGATTTATTACATGCATAATTATACTTATAAATGGAATATTGATGAAATGAAAAATGCGCATTTCTATTTTCCGTAATTTCGTTGTAAAAAATTTTGTTTCACTATTCTGAAACAGTTTTCCGTATATTCACCGGTGTCTTGTCGGAATTTTTCAACTAAATTCAACCAATACATATAATTTAAAGAAAAGTATTTCAAATTGACATATTAAGACAAAAATGTTTATAATAAACAGAAAATGCACGTCTTTCCTATAATTACAGGATTTATTTTCATCTTGTGATATGTACATTATTATATCTCACTCGTGGCCACTCATGAAATATTTTTTCAAACCACTCGGTGAAATTAAAACCTGTTTTTTATAATAAAAAAAAGCTCTGTTTATTAACGGTATGATTTTTCCAGTGTAAATAGACGTAACATATGTTTATCAGAATTGTCAATCCGAGATTCTTACAAACTACATTGTAAGGACTAAAAATATAAGATATTAAACTAGCGTTAAGATACAATTGTAACACAGTAGCGTTACCAGACTTCTCATTTTAATTATTTTATTCTATAATTTCATTAATTCTTTTTATTTATTATTATTACCATTTTTTTAGAAATCATTTTGCCTTGCATGACAATGCAATTGGCATAAAGCTGTTATAAATCATTTGGTGTATAATTCCCTTATCTAATAAGGATATTTCTTGCTCACGCTGTTATAATAAAGGAATAATAAACCGTAAAGCATGAGGTTGAAACATCCATACAAGGGAATAATAAGCGAAATTATTTATGTTGTGAGTCAGGTAGAAATATCCATATTAGATAAAGGAGTAATTAGCCAAACGATCTTTGTACAGCGTGAGGTGAAAATATCCTAATTAGATAAATAGATTTATCATTTCGCTTATTACTCCCTTATCTAATATGAATATTTTCACCTCATGCTGTACACAAATCATTTGGCTTACTATTCCTTTTTCTATAATAAGGACATTTCCACCTAAAGCTGTAATAAAACATTTCGTTCATTATTCATTTAACTAATAAGGATATTTTCTGCTCAGGCTGTACATAAATCATTTGGCTTATAAGTTAATTATGTACATATCATGCAAAAAATGTAAATAACCATGATTAGAAACAAATAAAGGAAAGGGATTCACAACTACATTATAATCATACTTCCTTGGTTACCATTGCTTTAATATACAATTATTTCAGTGGGACCTTGTATGTGAACGAAAGGAATTAGCAGAGGTTTCTCAGACACTACTTATGCTTGGACAAGGTATCGGGGCGTTTGTCTTTACAAGTTTGTCGGACAGATATGGTAGAAAACGAATTCACATCATGTGTCACGTGATCATATTCTGTGTTGCGCTTGCTACCGCTTTCGTTCCGAATTTCACGCTATTTGCAGTAATGAGAATGCTTACAGGCGCATTTCAACAGGTTCATATTTCATATCTAAGTATGTAAGCAACAAAGCATAGGAAAGTTAGGGATAATGCTCTTCACCTATATCACTCATGAACATTCAAACCATTTCTGCAATCTTCATGTAGATATGTTGTTTTGGTGCTGTCAAGGGATCATTCCATTTTCCACATTTGTTGTTACATGTTTCATGTAGTGGTAATATTCGTTCCACATTTGTTGTTATCATCTAGTGGCAATATTCGTATATATACTACATTATTAAAAATCATGTAACTTTATCTTATATATTCAGTTTATTTCGCACTGTAAATTTATATGAAGTTATATGAAAGACAAACCTTCTTGATAAGATTATTTATACTGATATATGTATGTATAGTACACTTGGTATACAAAGTGTGTGTCTGCGTTTGTTTACCCTCGCCACCGGAAAGAGACCATATGGGCGGGCAGTTGGCATACAAATTGATCTGTGAAAATATATAAATACCTTATAGAAAGTCTGTTTGTAATTGCTTTTAAAAAATCGATAGTCTTCGGATTGTTTAATACGCGTTTTTGTGTTAGCTAGGAATATCTGAGAGGTAGATTTTTTCGAACAATCTTTTTTGTCATGTACGTTTCTAAATTTTTATCCCTAACAACATGGTATATGTTCTAATTAATTTGAATAGAAAGTTATGGTTATAAAACGTTAACGATATATTATATTTAAAATATATAAAAAAATCTATTTTTAATATATATTGCATTGATAAATGTATGAAATCATTTTGTATCCGTATATACCATGTACATGTCAAAATAAAATAAACTTTTGTTACAATTTTGATACTTTTTTAACAAAGGGAACTGGTCTTACACTTAGCTTGCTTCTAATTGAGATGGTGCCTAGAGAGACACGTGGGACTGTCGAGGTTTGCAGTCTTCTTTTTTGGACTACTGGTATAGCTATTGTTACACCAATAGCTTATATATTCCGTAATTTATCCTGGCGGTATCTTCAAATATGTCTGGCGTGTTTGTCAGCATGGTCTCTGATCGAATGGTGGTGAGTGCTTTTATGTTATTTAACAGATATAACATCTGACTCGCGTAAATTTTATAGACGACGAATCTACATTATATTTACTTTTAAATTTAAACTTAAAAAGGACAGTCAAAATAAACAAACGGAACGTAAATGTCTCAACGAATAAAAGTCAACTTTATTTGTGTCTTAGTAGATGAATATTCTGTTGAGAGTCTTTCCCCAAAGTGTAAATATTTGATTCTCTTTCTGATCGAGGAACCTTTATTGTTTTGGGAAAAAAACCTACTTTTCATACCTACTTAGCTAGGGGCATGGATAAAAAAGATTTGACCAAAATCATTTGGTTAAAGAAATTAAAAAAAAAAACAACAAAAACAAATAAAACAATAGTTTTTCCTGATCATAAATGTGGAAAGTGGGATCCCTTATTATTCAGCTCAGGAAAGATCCCTGTCTCATTTTTGAATAAACTAGGTTCATATGCCCGTTTGTAATTTAAAATAGCATGTTTGTGCCATTTCTATTAACTTAACTTACAGATTTTGAAATACGGAAAATATCTTATACATTTGAAAAATACATCTGTTTATAGTTATAAATTAGTAAATGGAAAGATTTACCTTTCCGTAGAGATTGCTAAAGGAAAAACAACAACTTTTACCTTTCCCTCATGATCTGTTACCTTTGAGTTGCATTATACAAACAAATTTACTATAATGATCAAAATTTTACTTTCCACTCTAAACAATCCTAAACTTTACCTGCTAAGTTAGACTATGGACGAAAATGGTTTCGTTATGTGTAGGAAAATGGCTCTTGTTTTAATATTCTTATTTTTATGCAATGACTTAGGTTGATAGACGAGTCTTTAAGATGGCTTATAGCTAACGGCCGAATTAAGGAAGCAAAGGCTATAATCTTAAGGGCATGTAAAACAAACAAGAAAAACTTTGATCACGTTGTCAGTGTCAGCGGTTTCCGGGAATATGAGCTGAATTATGAAACCAAACTAGAAGTGAAAAAGGGTAAATTGTTTACCTTTCATTGTCATGTTGTTGTTGTTTTATAAGTTTCTTGTTAGATTCTTAATTATAAGCATATCGACTGTAAATCATTTGGCTGTCAACTTTAAACCATTGTAATAAATGCCACAATTTTTAACCTTATATAATCTTTCTTTTCTGGAATATAAATTGGCATTGGCAAATCAGTCTATTTCAAAACGTTTAATAAACATATGTTGAGTACACATAGGGAAGATATGTTTCCTTAAACTCTGCACACTATAGAAACGCATTTTTTAAAAGAAATGAAATTAATATGTAAGTAAATGCATGCAATATTCTTTTTTGTATATATTGTAGTTTGTCAACCTTTGTCAAAGGCATTTTGTATGCTGATTATTGCAAATAAAATATTGAATTTAATTTAATTGATAAAACACAGAATAAATCCATAGTGTCATTGAAAGTGGCATTTTATTTTCAAGAAAGGACCCAGTTTCCTTTACCAGTCTAGTTTATGCACTTATTTAAATCATACAGTCAGAAAAAAACTAGAATAAATTTCTTTAATATAAGTATTTTACCAAAAGTTGAGCATAGTACAAAATATATATCTTTAATTATAATTATGAAAGTTATTTCTCGTTTTTTATATACTTTGTATACTGTACCATATGTACGTACATTTAGATCAAAAGCGTGCAAAAAGGTGCGCGTTGATGCATAGAACGGGAAACTATAGAAGCTAAGTTTTATTCAATTTGCGTTTTTTATATTCTTTGTTATTTTACTATAGTCGATAGAAATTGGTTGGTATTTTTATCATTCCGTTATACACGTTACTGACGGGACATATATTGGGAGAATATTGCCTGATTGAGTTCACTATAACCCTTGGCTGGCGCCTTGACCTTTATTTATCACAATGAAGCTAATATTCTACCGTATACATGTACCTCGCCATCAACTTGTATAAATAATATTATCTTGAAACATAACTCGTAAGACAAATATGACAAAAACTATATTTCTGATGACTAACAGACGCGAAGATATGATGAAATCTATATTTCTAAAAATTCAGAAGTGACGGTAATGTGGAAAAAAATATATTCTTAATGCTTAAAAAGCAGGTCATAGTGCCAAAAGTTTTATTTGTAATGAACCCTGCTATTTTTGTAACATTCAATTGTTCTTACTTCATATTCCCTTCTTACTACATATTTTCTATGTACAAAACTTATTGTTGCATTATATGTTAATAAAATTAGATGAAAGGGCTGTACCGTTGACGGATACAATGACTAGTAACAAGGAGAATGGGAATACCAAGATTGATATGTCAGTGAAACAGTACACAGTGATAGACCTTGTTAAGTCGAAGAGAATATTCATTTCATCGTTAATCATGTGGTTTGCTTGGTAAGATGTTTTGTCTCCATAATAAAGTTATTGAAGTGTAGTTCATTCTCAACAGTGTACTAGTATTTTGAACTGTTTTCAATAAAGAATGTGGATAGGTCCTTTTCATATCGGTATTCATGTATACTTTGTCATGAGTTGTCATTTTACAAGGTTCTATAAAATAAAGTACAATATATTCTAATCGTTGAGTCTTAGACGCTGTAACTATACGTTTCACATTCTGAATTGATCTTCAACCTTATTTATAATTGCTGGAACTGCTACAAATCTACAAAACATATTACACCAGAACAATAAACTACATTACGTTCAACTGTCCCGTGCTTATCAACACCAACGGTAAGGCGTGTTGCTACAAGAAGAAATCGACGATTTTCGTCCAAATGATAAGGCTTTGATTTGAAAACAATATAACTGACAGTTTGTTTGTTTGTTGTTTTTCTTTAAAGTCCTTTCAATCATTTATTGATTTAAAATCATAACCTACCATTCAGTAGAAACTTCGAGCGCATATAGGAAGTATGACAACAATTGCGTTAGTTAGACGTTATTGCACTTGAAACAGCGTCAGTCCGTCATTACGCTTCTTTCTTTAAGCTGTCTATTTATTTTTTTTGATTTTATTTTTTTCAAGTTAGTGCCTATTCAATCAGAGATGGCGCAAAATGACCTTAAAAACATCGAAATTTAAATTTATGATTTCAGGACAACAAACAGTATAACATACTACGGTATAATGCTTATATCATCTAGTTTGGCTGGGAACCGCTTTTTGAACTTTTTCCTTGGCTCTATTGTTGAATATCCCGCTGCAGCTGCAGAGTTATACTTAATAACTAGGTAATAACACCTTGTTCTTGACATTTGTTTCTCATTCTAAAGCGTAAAAGTTTCCACGAGAACCAAAGCAAGCATTTTGTTATCTTTTGAGTTTTTGACAAAAAATAACGTTGTCAGAATCTATCATTAACACCGGCTTTAATTTAATGTACGTTTCGGTCGGTTGATATTTAAGATTCGGTAAAGTCTTTAAGAATTTCTTTAATTTATGTCAAATACGTTCTACACATAATTGCAGAAACTTTTATTTAGAAATTTAACTTAGTTATATAAATGATGAACACTCATGCATTCTATCTGTTCTATTTGTATCAAACCTAGATATGGTAGGAAACCGGCTTCCATTATTTTTCATACTATATGTGGTACTGCTTTGATAATAGCAACAATTCTGACCACAACCGCCGGTAGGTGTATTTAATCATTGTTTTTAGTAATTCCAACAATTTTCAGATTCTGGCAACCGTCTAAGTACATATTCAATACTACGATGTTTCTTCTTTATATGTGTAAAAGTCGGGTGATTATGGAATAGTGTCCATGAATGGTATAACAGATTTAATTGGGGTATTTCGACTTTGCCGACACTTTCACTTAACAATGCTCCTTAAAGGTTAATATTGTTGTTTTATTAGCTAAAGCTGTCCTTGTTGATTTAGATTAAGATAACTGCTGGCACCATCTTCATAAAATAAAGTAAACCTTCTTAAAATATGACCGTCATTTTGGTAGGTAGTTGGAAGTTGAATATTCGAATAACCAACTACCTTCTAGCTGGTGGTTGGTTATTCGTGACTCAAAACACTGTAACAGCTTATAGTTGGTAATTCAATCCACTATCACCAGTATGAAATGTTCAAACACCTCAGAGCTCGAACCTAACATGTTAACGACTCAAAACTGAACATACTTTTCCGGAATAAATGTAACGGGTACATAGCAGATAGTTGTGTTCATCAACATAGAAACACAATGTCTTCCTACCAGAGAGGTTGGTTATTCGCTCAAATCCTTAACTACTAAGCAGGAGGTAGTTGGCTATTCGCTTAATATACCGTGAGTAACTAACTGTATCCCCTGGTCGATTGATGGTGAGGCGATTTTATCTATTGTAGAAACACCTTGTTATATAACCATTACATTTGTTTCAGAAAAATACTGTCTCTGCCTCAGAAGATTATATTGGAGTTACGCGAATAACCATCTAGGTCTCCTCCTATAGTATGATATGTTCGAACATTTCATGCCGGTGATATTAAATTTAATTACCAACTACCAGCTGCTTAATAGTAGGGAATTACGAATAACTAGCTCGTAGATAGTTGGTGATTAGAATATCTTACTACCTACCAAATTCACGTACATTTTTAATTTCAACTTTAGAATAGTATCTGACATAGTTATACACGGATGAATCTTATAAGTCATTCTTTCGTAGTGTAAGTTTCTAAAGGAAATACTTTCATAAATAATATCATTATTTTTTATTGTGCATTTTAGGTGGCAATTCTGCAATGGTTATATGCTCCACTGTTTTCACATTGATAGGAAAGTTTGCAATTACTGGGTCATTCAGTACAATATTCTTGTACACGCACGAATTATATCCAACGAATATGAGGTACCATGTATAATTAGCAAAAAGCTTGATGAATATTACCTATAGTAAAACGTGCAGTACCATGCTTTAAAATTGAATATAATTATATATGTCTGTAATATATGTTACCCCTGTTAGAGAAATATATAGTTTTCCCATGGTTAACAACATCGCATGTTTCCTGTATTGCCGAATTTTATTTGACAAGCTATAAACGATTACATAAGGCAATTAATTTGAGAACTTGCAAAATAGTGTATAGGAGGATTGTCGTTGAAGATCCTCTTGGGCAAAACGTAATAATAAGTTTAAGTTAGCGATACCTCGTAATTGTTGCTGTTATGTTGATAGGGCTTTTATCTCTATATGATTTAAATTTTTAGAAATGTTGGAGTTGGTTTGTCGTCAACAGCAGCTAGGGTCGGTGGAATGGTTGCACCGTTCTCAAGAAACTTGGTAAATATATATTGTCTCTTACATCTATAGATATTACAAATTGTAAGCAAGTCTCAAAACAACCATTTCATACGTATAGAAATGAACTGGACGAATTTCAATTGTGTTCTAGTCGTCTATCCGTCTGTTAGCAGTTTGGTGTCCGGTATGTAGCTTTTGAACATATTGGAGGAAATTAAATCTACTTACAGAAATGTTAAACGTTATGAGACGATGTGCAGAGCCCAGGGTTGATCTTTCTGAAGACAAGGCCAATGTCCTTTTGTTTGAATTTCAACATTTTGTTTTCACTCTGTATATTTTGGACCCATAGAAAAACATTTTTGTGAGAATTATTTTTCATGATTACACTATGTACAGAAGACAGGTTTGGACTTCCTCAGTTCAAAATTGGCCAATCAAAAGAGATTACATGTATTTGATTTATATGAACGATTAAACACTATCGTAATTCAAACCAATTAACTCGCATTTTACGATCGCGCAGGAATAAACGATGGCTACAATTCTGATGTCCCAACCCTTAAAGATAGCCCACCAGCCACAAGGGTGGGGGTGGTAGGGACGCAATGCAATTGAAAAAGATATATAAATACAGCAAATGATTGTTGACTGTACCGAACCGTTAAGAAAGATCTATGTTTTAGCGAACGAACAACGAATGTAATGATTTTATGAAAGAAAAGAGAACAAATTTTGATCACAGGTTATATATAATATATTTATTCTATTATAGCAAACAGCTTTTATATTCTATTCTAATAACAAAACAAAAACAAAACTACACAACGTAAATCAGGGACAATACAGCATAATTGATTGTTCTTTAATGTCATCAACCGAAAGCACAAACGTCACCTAATGTCAAATCCTAATAATTTTATCTACATGTTACTTGACTTATTTATACTGTATATAAATAAACACAATTTTAATTGTATATTATGTAGGCTGAGATAGCCGCGTGGTCGCCTGGGCTAGTATTCGGCATAATGTGCGCTATTGTAGCAGTAACAATGTTCTGGATGCCAGAAACGCATAGATATGAGCTTCCACAAACGCTTGAGGAATGCGAACAATGGTACAAAGAAAACAGGTTTCATTTACCATGTTGCCGGAAGCATGATGTTGATAAAACGGAAGTAGATCAACAAATGACGTAATGATGATATAATGACATTTTTTCTGCCGTGTTATGGTTTTATTTAAAATATCATAGATTTGTACAAGCATAAACATATAATAATCTATATCCAGAAATTAATTTGTACTGTAATGTTATTAAAACGTTCGTGATATTGTTATATGGTGTGGTACTACAGGGCAAATCGCTTTGTTATAAAGCAATCATTTTGATACTGTTTGGTTTGATGTATCAAATGTTTGCAGATAAATAAATATGGCTGTATTTTAGTATATATTGTTGTGTTTTATAAGGATTAACGTTATGTCTTACTATACATTATATCATAACTGAGAGACTTTACTATTCAAAACATGTTAAATCGTATACTAATACATGCACAGCGCGTTAACTGGAGTGCATTAATTAGTTACCAGTACTCGCTGTCTGTCTAGGGCCCGTATTCAGAAACGATAGTTAATCACAAACTCAACTCAAGCTTATGAAAAGTCACCTGAAGTGACGCTGGACGAGACTAACGATAAGTAATTCACAATGTTCAAAGTGGTAATCGTTTTGTTTAATCAACCTTATCTAGATCTCTCGTAAGGGAGACTTGAAAAGTTGATCGATTGTACGTTGCAAAGTGTAACCATGTCGTGTAGAATAGTGTATTTCACAGAACTAGAAAGCTATAGAGAGAGAGAGAAAAAATAACATCCCATTTTACTGTCAATAAAAAAGTTTCATTAAACAATAATCTTTTTTTGTTTGCGCCGTCACTACCTGCACCCCCGCCTCCCCTCCCCTAAATTATCTGTTAGCATATTGTTTAACAAGAACGTTATATTAAAATCTTTATTGTTTGAATTATCATATATCATTTTGTACACAAAACAAATTAATCTATATTAAAGACAGGCGGTGGCAAACCAAACAATAGAGAGAGAAAGAGATTATGATGGGCTTGATGTTGGTGAAATTGTCGCCAGCCAGATCTGATGCTGGATGACTTATTGGATTTAAAAACAACATAATACACTTTTAAATAAAGTTACTAATGCATCTAATTAAATAAAACATTATACCCGTTCAGTAAAATATGGAAATACCTGCTAACTCATACTAAGCTTAAATACACAAGTTTAAAAGATCTTGTTTTTCTACATAGATTTTAATAGTTTTTGTTATTAAAGCAGCACGCCTCCAGATTCATCCTAATTTTCATGAAAATTTTGAAAATGTATTTTAAGGTAAAATATTGTGAAATGAACAAAGAAAGTACTTGACACATTACAATCGGCATTTCAAATCCACGTAAATTACCAAAAAGAGGTCAAAATAAGCATAAATAGCCCAATACTGCGTTAGTAACGCAGTAGAAATATGGTGATAAATACTACAAACTACAGTCATTAATTGCTCATAAGATATAAATTATCACTTGCATCTTTAATTTGTTTACTTCTCTCAAAGTTTTAGTATGGTTTTTCCAAGTTTAATTTTCTTGAAATATTTTGGGTCATCTGGAGGCATGCAGCTTTAAAGCAGCACGCCTCCAGATTCAATCTAATTTTCATGAAAATTTTGAAAATGTATTTGAATGTATAATATTGTGAAATAACCAAAAGGAAGCAATTTACACATTATCATTGGTACTTACAACTCACGTAAATTACCAAAAAGTGATCAAAATATACATAAATAGCCCTTACAACGTTAGTAATGCAGTAGGAATATATTTGTAAATACTGAAAAATCAGTCATTAACCGCACATATCAGGTAAAATATTACTTGAATCATGAATCATTTTACATTTCCTAAAATGTTAGTACATATTGCTCAAGTTTGATTTTATTGAAATATTTTGACTCATCTGGAGGCATGCAGCTTTAATAAAACATTCAGACCTCGTCAAAGTTTATGCCATGGCGTCATGACAATATTGTTTCTGTCTTGTCTTCTTTGAAATATCTTAAAATATATAGACTTGGAATGTTGTATCAATCCGAAATAGTGTGGTATATGTTGTATCTTACTGATATGTTTCAATATTTCAAAAACAAAACAATAACTTAATAAATTGGACTTGTTTATGCAATAAACATTTATACAGGCCTATATTTAATTTGTATAAGCCTGTGTTTAGACGCACACGACAAATCATCCGAGGACTGTAGTCTAAAATCATTAATAGCAACATCGACGATAACATCGACAAAGACAGTAATAGCTATATTTATGGATTAAAGAAAATGCAGTGGAGTAACCAAGGCCGCTCGGGGTAGGTTAAAGCTCACTTTAGTAAACAAAGTAAATACAAATATTCATGAGTTTACTTTGATTGAGCAAATTTTAAAGAACTTAATCAAAAACAAAGCTCATCGACAGTTTAATATAATGTTTAAAACAGCCTTGTAGATACAAGAATGAAGACATTGAAACCACCGGCTTCGACATAGGAAACTTTTGTTATTCAAATGTAAAACATATTTGTAACAGACGAGACGCTAGGCATTTTGTCATTAACGTAAATGTTTATTATAATAATAAATTACAACTAATGTTGTGCAAGCAATATGTAAGTATGTCAATATCCTTATCATTTTAGGGCATAGATCGTCAAAACAAAGAACATGAAAAATAACAAGACTGGTGCTTTTAAACATCTAGATTAGAAATGAGCAAGAGGAACACAAGTAAAACTATTAGACAGAAAGTGAACTCAAATGTAATTTCTCCTGACCGAAATATTGACGAAATACGTCTGATTTAACTACCCATCCCATCGTAAACTAAATTTTTATTATCCCACGGTTAAGTTACCCGATGTAACTCTACCGGCCAGCAGTACATAACATAACGCCGCTAGGTATCTGTTTGTCGAATTACTCAATTCTGTATGTTCCCATATATGACCATATAAAATGTATATTGGACAAAACAATTCAAACTAAGTGGTATTCGGTATAATTGTATTGAGAATACCTCAAATAGCCCCTCCCCCCACTCCTCCTAATCTCACAAATTCTCAACTAACCTTAATTTACTAGAATCTTACTATAATCGGAAAACAATGTAACACTTAACTGAAAAAAATATGGACAGCCTCGAACGTAAGGCAATAACATGGAATGTCCTCGATAATGGGAAAGAAAACTAGAACTATCACTAAATGTGATTTATATCCCCGCTAGCCTGCTTTGGAAATGAGGAAGTTACTAGTAACAGAATACCTTGCAAAATAATTGAAATAGAATTATGGTTGTAGGCAAGTAAAGATAGTTGTGGTTCTTGTATGTGGCATTTCCTTTCAATGTGGCTGGCCATCGATGAAGTTTAATACAATTTGTCTGTAATAAGTCCAGAAACAGTTCCGCTTCTTGAGTACTTCACTTCCTGTCATTGCGCTTGACCATTGTATGAAGTTGCGTTGAATTCTAAACATTTGATTTTTAAGTCATGTACCGGACAAGGAAAAGGAACAAAGGGCAATAACTCAACAAATACTGAAGATTGAGTTATGGTTATTGTGCACTGCACTTTCTCTCATTTCGCTTGATCATTATATAAAGTTGTATTGTATTCCAACTACTAGTTTTCAAGTTATGCACTGGACAAAAACGTATCAAAGGTCAATTACTGTAATAAGTCCAATTAGTCTTGTGCACTGTACTTCATCTCACTGCCCTTGACTATTGTATGAAGTTTTATTGAATTCCAACCATTAATTTTCAAGTTATGAACTTGAAAATGAAAATTAACAAAGGGCAAACAACTCATAAGAGAGTCAACAAAGAGTATTAGTTTCTGTGCACTGCGCCTCCTCTCAATATAAGTGACCAGTGTATGACATTGTATTGAATTCCAATTAGTTGTTTTCAAGTTATGCATTGGACAAGAAAAAGCATAGAAAATAACAAAGGGCAATATCTTTAACATTTGTCACAATGGTGTTATGGTTCTTAAGCACTGCACTTCCTCTTAATGTGCTTGACGATTGTATGAAGTTGTATTGAATTCCAACGAGTAGTTTTTGAGTTAGCCTCCGGTCAAAGAAAAGTAACAAAGGGCAATTACTTTGTAATTAGTCAAGATTTAGATATGGTTCTTTTGCAATGCACTTTCTCTCAAAATGCTTGATCATTGTATGAAGTTGTATTGAATTCGAACCAGAAGTTTTCAAGTTACGCTCCGGACACAAAAGCAATGGAAAGTAACAAACGGCTATTTCTCTGTAACAACTTTATAAAATGTTATGGTTCTTGTACACTGCACGTCCCCTTATCGTGCTTAACCATTGTATGAAGTTGTTTTAAATTCCAACTAGCAGTTTTCAAGTTATGCTCCGGACAATGAAAGGTAACCTAGGGCAAAAACTTTGTAATTAATGAAGATGGTGTTACGGTTCTTGTGCACTGCACTTCCTCTCAATGTGCTTGACCATTGTATGAAGTCATATTGAATTCAAACCATTAGTCTTCAAGTTATGTTCCGGACAAGGAAAATGCAACGGACCGCTGGACCGACCGACCACCGAGTGACTCCTATATACCTCAAACTTCGTTTCGGGGGAATAAAAAATAGAATCTAAATATTTGGCGACTACATGCTCGTTAATTGGCTATTTTTTTCCAGGATTTTATATTGTGACGACAGGGAAAGATATTATGATTCTATTTTTGCCCATGTTCCTTTCCTTTCTTTCGGTATTTAGCTCATTGGGGTAGATAACGCACGTGTTTTTGGTTTGTAATTAGCGGGAGAAATCACTTTCGAGGTTAGCTACAATAAGGAAGGTTGTTTATTGCTCAGTATGATATGAGTTGGACAGAAGAAACTGAACATAATTAACCGAATTTATTGTCTAAAAGGAGTCGTCAAGAAGAAATTCAGCCAGGACAAGATGGTTTTTTTTCAGTCACATTAGAACACGCATTGTCTCGTCAGAAAGATTTATTTCTACAAGAAATAGAATCCAGGTTCGGCAACGTGAACACTGCCGCAGGTCTTACTCTCTCTTTTTCAGAATTTGTTTTTACCAGTTTAAGGTTTTTGAAGAACAAAATAAATACGTTTTAGCAATCACTAGTTTGTCTTATACTAGAAGTAGGGATTTTTTTCTGGAGGCTATTGGGGCAATTGGAGAAAATAATGATTTATTTGGACTACATAGTTTGCGTAGAGGAGGTGCTTCTGCTGCATTTAATAAGGGGGGAAATTCTGATAGTAGGTTATTGAATAATCATGGGAGATTGAAGTCCTCTACTTCTTCAGATAGATATGTTCAGTATAGTTACAACTTAAATTTCAACTTTCTAAACATTTGGGTATTTAAGTTTTAAGAATTTAATCCGTTATTGGGGTTTATATTAAATATAATTTTACAGATAAGATAGAGTCTAGAACAGCTTTACTCAACTTAATTTTATATGCCTTTATGTGATAAAAGAAATAATATGGCATAGTGTATTTTGTATATTTTACCTTACCTTTTTAGCAGTTAAGCGGTTTTGATGTACATGATGTAAATGTTGCCATTCTTGATGCAGAGCTTGCTCCAGTTGTTGCACGTTGACTACAGGTGGTTCGTAACATATTATTCAAATTAACCTGAATTTGGGTATGTACTTTATTGAAAACTTTTTTTATTTGTTTAGAATAATAAATTTAAATAGAAACTTCCCGCTATGGAAATAATAGACTGGAAAGACGACAGAGAAAATTTATTTGCAATAACGAGAACATTGAAGATGAATATCACATTATGTTATGTTGTGAAAATATATAGACATACGAACAACATATAAACCGAGAAAATATTATATTAAACAAAGCATGTTGAAAATGATTGCAATCTTGAGCTCAGAAGATAATACAGTGGTAACCAATTTGTGAACTTATATTGAAAATGCAAGATCATTATCACTTAATGAAAGTTGAAAGTCTTTTCCATAGTTAGTTACTGTGATTCGTTTATTTTAGTACAGTATAACTAATTTAAATTAGATCTATTTTGGTATTTCTGTAGTTGTTATTTATTTCTCTGTACTGTGCATATAGTTGCTTGCTTCCCTTTGTGTATTGAGTGACTGTAGAATCAAGTTTCACAGAATTAGATCATTGTTGTTTTTTTATAAAACCGTGTTTGTACAAATCACGATTAAGTTGTCATAATACAATTAGGTGATTCATGCTGAAAGCCTACTTTAACTTTACAGATAGTTGTTTTGATGACATAAAATGTGACGTCACTGCTTAAGATGTTGCACGTGCTCGTGTTCAACACGTCGATTATGATTATAAACTCATAATCGATCAATAATCAAACACATTGCGAGTTGAAAACATTGGAATTTAGTTAATTGATATGCAGTAACAAATGTAACCTTATTTTATTAAAGAGAAAGTATCATGCGAAAAAGATTTTAGCAGTTAAGTCCTCTCTACAAGTTCCTGTTATGTACAGCCGTATTTTTTTCTCAAATTGGCATGGTTTTCTAGCAGGCTTCTTATGTATCTTAAATGACTTTGAACTAAACAAAACCGCGGCCATTACCTACCAGTCTACGGCTTGGTACAAAATTCCTTAGTTAAGGTTAGCCAGGGCATTTTCATCACATGAAACTCTTTTTCAGGATCTGGGTCCAATGGTTTTTAGATACCCGCCTAGCAGATACTTGGGACATGCCTAAACGTTCATGGGTTTGTAGTGTAAACATTTTCAGTATTATAAAATAACAATCTCAAGCAAGTCCGGCAACTTTGATAAACCGATTGTTCAGCACAAGTCTTTAAACACGGTCATAAAATGATGTTCATACTGACAGTGATTAAATGTGCGTCAATTTACGAAACAAACATTAGATCTAAAAGAAACAACCTTGGTCTTAAAGAGCACCAACCTAAAATAGTTCATTATTTTATGAAGTAATATCATATTACACATATACATCATCAATCATCATATTAAAGATACGCTGTTACAATTGAAAACGTCGACCCTAACAGAAAGGATAATTATGCTCCTCATGATCAGGAGGATTGTGTGTTATAAGAACCCTTTGGTTTTTTGGATGATTCTATCTGCACCGAGGACGATGCGATTACAGTAGCTCATAGAGGCCATCAGTTACCATATAGACATTCATATATATGTCAATACCGTATGTAACTGATTGTCTAAATAAATCATTTTATAAGACAGAAAAACATCATCCCATATTTTTTTGTCCGGTCTGTATCTTTTGAACCGGTGAAAGGAACTGAAACTACTTGACAGAAATGTTAACCATAATAAGACAATGTGCAGAACGTAGGTTTGACCTTTCACTGATCAAGGTAAATGTCAATTTTTGAGTCCGGTGTTTATCTTTAATTAAAACAATAGACAGACAGAAAAATTACAAATAATAAGACGGTGTGCTTTTGACATTCTGACATCAAAATTAGACCCACACAGGGGATTACTTGATTTATATTGATCTACGAGGGATGTTCGAAATGTGTTGCTTATTTCTATCCATAGACTTCAAATTTCAAGTTAGCTAAAAAGTGTTCATTTCATGCCCTCGAAGCTCTCCCCATGGCTTGAAATGCAAAGTTTCAGTCGATGTATCCATTTCTTGGGGGCGTCACGGTACGCTGATTTGGACACAGTAATAAGGTACTGATGAATGGCAGATCCAAGTGCCTGTCGGGACTCATTTTCCCGCCCAGCAAGGAACGATTTCAATCTCGGAAACAAAATGAAATGACATGGGAATAAGGGTGGAAGGCAAAACAGATACTTTTTCTTTTTTCAAAAACGCCGAAACTATTACGGAGGTATGAGCGGGGGCATTGTCATGTAGAAGACGGATATGCTTAAAACCAGTATCAGGGCGTCGTTTCTAATACTTGTTCAGTTTCTTAAGTACTACGTCTTTGTAGTACCTCCCAGTGATACTTTTGCCCTTTTTCACCGGCACTTTTATCGCGACTCCTTCACCAGAGAAGAAAATTGCATATAAAACCTTTTTTGCATTTAAAGACCGTTTGGCAATTATTTGGGATTTGTTGTGTTTAGTGGCCCAGATTTTGTTGCTAACTTTTCTGACGGGCTCGAAATAATGGATACAAGTTTCATCAAATGTGGCGTCATTGGCAAACTGTTTTTTTGTCATATTTTGGAAACATTTGAAGCAGCCTTTTGGCCACCTTAACCACTTTCTCATCGATGAACAGATGTGGCAGAAATCTTTCTAACTTCCAAATGATTCATCAAAGTAAAGTGAACCGTTGATAGTGATATGCCACCCTTTCATGCAATATCACGAACTGTAAATCTGACATCTCCTTCAATGATATCGTTTATTTTAAAACGATGTCGTTACGAGATGCAGAATTTGGCTGATTTTGGTGCATTTTTAATGCTGTCTACACCAGACTCTATTTATTTTTCCATCGCTCACTGTGTCATAAGACACACAAAAAGGTCCATAAGCAGTAGAGATTTCAGTCATCAACTGCTTCAAAGAGCAACCCAGTTTTGAGAGCTTTGACGTAAGCCCGTATCTTTTTTACAGTGGTCAATGACTGCGTGTATTTAAATGGCAAATCGTATGTCTTATACTTAGTCTAACATGTACATTTATTCACCGTTGTGTTGGTATTGAACTACCCTATACAGGTATGTATTGGTTTTTATCTTGTCCCACGTGGATCACGAGATAGAGGACAATAAGCAATTCTTTTCGAACAGCCCTCGTATGTACATTGATATTGAGGAACACATTTAAAATTCAATGTGTGAAACTACAATGTCAGTAACTTGGATATCTATCATTTTGCATTGCTTTATTGACCCTTACAAAATTTATATAAATCATGTCCCCTTGTTCAATATTTGACCGCCACAGGTATCACATGATTTATATATATTTATATAGGAAATCCATATCCTAAATGATCGTTTGTTTGCGAAATAGACACCTAAATTATAAGGCTATGTGTAACTGTGGCGCGTTTGGGATTTTTATTGAAATATTAAGTTGTATATATCACAAATAAAAGAAAATACTGCATTATCATTGTATACGGTAAGGTTACCAGACATACAGTAATAACAAAAACGTACACATGTTTGTTGTTTATTTAAGTTTGAAATTTGTCTTGATCTATCCAATAATATTTTGATAGTGTATAGCTGAAAATAGAATATAAAAATGATTATTTTAGTACAACAGTAACAGTAAAAAAGCAAACAAGTTCAAATTTAAAGCAAAATGTATATTTCAAAATGTTTTTATATCATTGTCATCTATTGTAGCAGATTTTCTAAACTTTTTCCTTTTAATTTCCTTTTAACTTTTACTACATTGAAGACAACAAAATTCACTTTTAAATTCAGATTTTATTTTCACTTTTACATCCAACTATACTTTTTAATCACCTTTTAACAACCTTTTTTAACACTTCTACACTTCACTTCTTTTACACTTTTTACACTACTTTGCTTCTACACTTATACGCTTCTACCAAAATAAAGATTGTAATTCACTTATATAGTGTTTTCTTCCCGCCAATTTAAAGAGTCATGAATATCATGATATGGAGTAATTCATAAGTGAAATAAATTCCCGCCAATACCAAAAATACACAATTCATAAGTTTTGGAGTAAAAGAAATATAATATTTTCCCGCCAAATACAAACATACACAATTCATAACTTTTGGAGTAAAAGAAATATAATATTTTCCCGCCAAATACAAACATACACAATTCATAACTTTTGGAGTAAAAGAAATATAATATTTTCCCGCCAAATACAAACAGACATAATTCTCATGATTAGGAGTAAAACAAAATCGTGTAATTCACGACACTCCGGCCGACAAAATTAAAATATGATATCTTTCACTAAAATAGTACATATTAAAATTGCTCTTTAAATATTCTCAAAATGCAAGAATTGAAACAATCTTCTTCTTAGAAAGTTAAATTCATACTTGCGCATATAAATTTAAACAAATAGGCATAATGGCAAACATATTATTAAACATAATGAACGAAACATACTCCTGTTTTCTTAAACAAATCTTTCAATTTATAAACATTTAAAATATATGTTTCAAAGCAATGTATGTATGTAACATTTAATACATATAAACAGTTCAACTTGTTTCAGTAGGTTTTTTATATAAATGTCTAAGCAACATACGATATAGAACATCCCTTGTTCTGTTGAACTAAAAGTCAGTACCTCAGTACATACTATTCATTTATTGCATTGTATAGCAATGGTAATCGTCTTCATATTCAACGCGACAAAACACAGGTTCTTCCCCTCTATATGTAGTATAGCGATAACCTGTCCTAGTCCAGACTTCAACTTCTGTGCGCAACGTGTGTCTTTCTATTTCCTGTCCTTCATCTTCATCAGGTATATCAATAATCTCAATTTCTGAATCGTCTGTATCCGAATTTGTATCATCAACATCATCATATACATCACTACTGCACATATTGTCATCTGCTTCATAATCTTCAATGTATAATTCACTATGTTCAACATTTATGTTCTCGTCATTACTAGCACTTAGCACATCATTTGTCTCGTCTTCATGCATTAGAAGCAGAAGACAAGCCATCATTTACATATTGTTCATCATCATCATCATCGTTGTTTGCACAGGACACGTCATCACTTACGATATAATCACTATCTGCACGAGACATGTTATCACTAACACTTTGTTCTCCAATATCATTTTTTGCACAGGACGCATCATCACTTACACTTTGTTCTTCAGTATCATCTTTTGCACAGGAAGCGTCATCACTTACAATTAGTTCTTCAATATTATCTTTTGCACAGAACGCGTCATCAATAATGCTTTGCATGTTTGTATCAAAATCAATTACCACTTTGCCCTCTAGATTATTGTTATTATCATGAGAAATACCTTGTAACTCCTCTTCTGTTATCTCATTCAGTGCGTGCAAATCAACATCACTTATATCAGAATTTAGACTGTCACTGCTAATCTCCTCAAGATCACTATATGGTGTGGCAATATTCACATGAATACGTTTGGAGAATAAACCGCTTTCTTCTGAAGCATCATTGTCAATGTTTTTCTTTGCAAATTGTGTGATATCTCCAGTTCTGCGAGATAAATAAGAACTATTTCGTGCATTTTCAGCGTCCATGCCATGTATTCTTCTCAAATGTTCCTTAAGATAATCCCTCCTTATGCTAGTCCCTTTACAGCCTTTGATAGGGCACTTGAAACTTCCCAGAGAGCTGTGATGTTTTTCCATCATGTGCCTTACTAAGTTTCTCTTTTGCTTATAATCCTTATTACAAAAGTCACACTCGTGCCGATCCATTTTTAACTATGTTACAAAAAATGAGTAATTACTTGGGTTTTATCTGAACTGCAATAGAGCTTCTGAAACACAATAATACAGAATACTGTTAGTTGCACGGATATCACGGGATTTTTTGCCGCCAAAATTTACTAGTATAATATTGCTCCAAATTATTCGCGCGTAAAATCACCATGTGTTATAACTATGCTCCAAATTTTTCGCGCCTACAGTCACGTGATATAAAATAATTCGTACCCTATTTTATTCGTACAATATTTTCAAGGATAACATAATATTATTCTTAATGCTTTGTAATTCGTGCATAAATATATTCACACTCTATTTTCAAAAAATAATTCAACTGTTCATACACGCGTATGCGGATTTCCCCAACAACACAAAAGTATTGTCTTTAAATACCTATGGGTTGTTAATTACTTAAGAAGATTTTTAAGGCGTAATTTCGCTAAATTTGCTGCCTTTCTCTCGGGACGTATACCAGTTTCTTTCTTTGCGTTTGGTCTTATATCCTCTGTCTCTGGAATAAGAAGTTTTGAAGTTTCAATAGGATAAAGTAAGCTTAAAGGTCTTTTAAGCACTTTTTTGGATGCAGTTTCAATATCTGCAGAACGAACACAACCATCGGAACTAACATACAGATGAATGACTTTTCCTAGCCTCCAGCTACCTCTACTAGTATTATCTTTGATAAGCACTACATCACCTACATTTGGATTGAATTGAACTTTATGTTTTCCTTGTTTCAGATTTGTTTGAGTTCTTTCCCTAAGACTACATAAATATTCGTCTTTCCATATTTTCCAGAAGGAATCTAAAAGCCGCTGTCCTTTTTTCCATATTGCCAACAATTTATCCTCTGAACTTTCTATCACCTTAAAATCTGGGTCATCTGAAGATATTTCAATTTCAGGAAACCCAACATTCGGGTTCAAACATATGAAGTGTGAAGGTGTCAGCGTGATATTGGAGTTTATATCTTCTCCAACATAAACTAATGGGCGACAGTTCACAATAGCTTCAACTTCCTTTATGATAGTTATAAGCTGGTCGCTGTCCAATAACTTTTTTCCAATAGATTTACGTAAACTTCTTTTAGTTAAACCAACAAGTCTTTCATAGAAGCCGCCCATCCATGGAGCGATTTCTACAATGAACCTCCATTTAATACCCTCACATGAACTGTAGGTTTGAACATCATCACTTTTCAAAATTGAACTCCATAGCAACTCAATTGTACGTTTTGCCAGCTTAAAATGTAACGCATTGTCACTGATGACCTCTTGTGGTTTTCCTCTGCATGCTATGAATCTCCGAAAACTGTTTAAAAATGCATTTGTTGTCATGTCTTTGACCATTTCTAGATGAACTGCACGTGTGACCATACATGTATATAGGCACACCCACACCTTTTTTATGGTTTGATTGTCCCTTATGTATAATGGTCCGAGATAATCCAATCCAATATGACTGAAAGGTGTTGATTTTGTAACTCTTGAACGAGGCAACGGAGCCATAAGAGGCATTTTATACGCTCCGCCTTCAACTCGACGACACACTAAACACTTATGAAGAACTTTTCGTACCGTAGCTCTTCCGCTCGGTATCCAGTAACGATATCTAAGTTGACTTAGTGTTTGAGACACACCTGAGTGAAGCAAACGCTTATGTTCCCTTTCGACAATTGACACTGTTAAAGGATCATCGCGAGGTAGCAATAACGGATGTCTAGCAGACTCCGTTAAACAAGCATTTTCTAAACGACCCTTGCACCTCAAAAGGCCGTTTATATCAATGAACACACCCAGTTGCTGCTGTAAATTGCATTTTTTCTTTCCTCTGATAGACTCATAAACTTCCAAAAGATGTTTGTATTGCGCATGTTTTATCCACATATTTTCAGCTTCTTGAATTTCTTTTGATGTTGGAATATGTGAATCATAGTTTTCCTTTTTCATTTTACCGATTGCTCTTTTAACATATGCTGTGACACGTAATAGCTTCGTCACCGAAGAATATTTTGTTTGATCAATTTCAAATGGAGCACACGAAGGAAAACATTCGTTCTTTGCTCCATATGCAGAAACACACACATTTTCACTTCTCTTCTTTTCTTTTACATTACATTTTGTTGCCATTGCTTTGTCCATTCTATCATCTTCTTTAAACGTTAACTCATCTAATGTCCTTTCGGAAATGTCTTGCAATAGCCACTCAGGACCATGCCACCATGACGAATTTTTCACAAGATCTTTTGTAGAGCAACCCCGACTGGCTATATCAGCAGGATTGTCTCTAGACGTAACATAATGGAAGGACACATGTTTGTGGTCTTTTATTTCATTAACTCGATTTCTAACAAACAACGGAAGCTGTTTTTCCGACATAATCCATTTTAATGCACACTGAGAATCTGAGAACAAATGAACTTCGTCAATTTGCATCTTTATTTGCTCTTGTATAAAGGCTAAACATCGTACCCCTATAAGTACAGCAAGGAGTTCAAGTCGTGGAATACTGATGTTTGAAGTTGGGGCAAGTCGAGTCTTTGAAAATACTATTTCGATGTGCTGTTGTGAATTCCCTTTCTGCATCAAATATATAACGGTAGCGTATGCTTTGGTAGAGGCATCACAGAAACACACAAGAATATTTTTGTTATCACCTTCACTTACAATGCATCGTGGGGTGGCATGTTCACTTATTTCACTGAGATCTCGTTGAATTTCATGCCATACAACAATGTCTTCTTCGTCAATTGGCTGGTCCCAATCGACTTTTTTCTTCCACAGTGTTTGAATGAGTACTTTTCC